CTAAGTTTCGTTTCTTGGACGTCACCCCCGGCCTGTCCCGCCCCCTCCCGCCGCTGGTCGCCTTCCCCCGGGCGGCTCCCGCCGGGGTCACCGAGAGCCTCCCAGCAACTTCATTGATCTGGTGGCCAGTGGTAGCCCAGAGGCTGATGCCCACTGCTCCCTGCCGCTGCCCAGGGCCGGTGGGGCCGTGCCTGGAGCTCAGACCCTTCCCTTCCCTCCGATCCCAGGTTCAGCAGCTCCCAAATCTCCAGCCAGGGCCCCCTTCTTTCTGCTTTGGGCTGGTGGGGTGGTGACACAGCAACCCCCCCCCGAATTCCATAGGGAAATATCCCTTGGGCCAGGATCAATCAGCACAACAAGGACATGGAGCTGTTGGAGCAGGGCCAGAGGAGGCCACGGAGATGCTGGAAGGGCTGGAGCCCCTCTGCTGGGAGGACAGGATGGGAGAGTTGGGGGGTTCAGCCTGGAGAAAAGAGGGCTCCGGGGAGACCCTAGAGCCCCTTCCAGTCCCTCAAGAGGCTCCAGGAGAGATGGGGAGGGACTCTGGATCAGGGAGGGGAGCCATAGGATGAGGGGTGACAGTTTTACATTGAAAGAGGGAAGATTGAGATGAGATACTAGGAAGAAATTTTTCACTCTGAGGGTGGTGAGAGCCTGGCCCAGGTTGCCCAGAGAAGCTGTGGCTGCCCCATCCCTGGAGGGTTCAAGACCAGGCTGGACAGGACTTTGAACAACTTGTCCCTCCATCCCTGGATCCAGCCAGGACCAAGCTGTCCTCACCTTCACCAGCACTCACACACTCTCTCGCACACACAGGCTGGAGCACACACACTATTTACACACAACCAGCCCTTTTTACCCCCTTACCCCTCTCTTTTCCCACTTTTGCTCCTCCCAGCATCCCGGGGAAGGGGGTTACCTGAGCTCCCTCCTGCTGCTGTCTCGCTGAGCTCCTCTCGGGTCCTGCAGAGCCACTTTCACCGCCCACCCCAACGCCACGCAGGGCTGAAGCGGCTGCCCCACGGTGTGAATCCTGCTCCGGCTCCACACTGGTCACTCCACGCCTGGGCAGATGGATGGACGGACAGATGGATGGATGGGCAGAGAGGGCACAGATGCCCTTCCCAGGAGGATCTCGCCACCCAGTGCTGCTCCGCTGTGGAAATGCTCCTCCAGTCTCCGGTGGCAGGACCCGTCAGCCCCGGCAGGTTCGTGGCTCCCGGGCACCTCTGCTGCCGCTGCAGAGGCTGCTGAACCTTGGGCAAGGAGGAGCCCTCAGGGGCCGAGCAACCGCAAAGGCTGGGACTGGTTTCACTTTCTTTTCCTTGTTTTGCTCAGCAGCGCCCCAGAAATTAGAGCTTCATTTTTCCTTCCCGCACGAAAGGAAAAAAATCTTTCGCCAAAGGAAGGGGAAGATGGCACTGACTCATTCGCAATTACTGCTTTATTACACCCTCCTAACGGGGCTCAGCCGAGGGCAAGTTTAGGAATACCATTGTCTCCTGAAGCCTGTCCCTCCCAGCCTCACTGTCCCACAGCACTAGCCCTTCTTGCACCCATTTCACAGCCAGGTGAGCACAAGCTGGTGTCACGGTGCCCGTCCCCTCAGTGCCTGGGGGGAGTTCAGGTGAGGGGGGGACAGGGGGGGACAGCCCAGCCCTGCCCGATGGCAGCGATTGGCAGAAAACCCCACAAACCAAGAGGGTTGAGTAAGGAGTAAAATCACGGATAGTTCTCATCTCCCAGCAGCCTGAGGTTGGGAGCAGAGCCGTGCCCTCGGGCTTGGAGGGCAGCACTACCATCTTCAACACTTGCCCTGACAAGGAGTAGGCTCTGCCTCAGAGTTCAGTATGTCCCAGGGTAAGAGAAGTCTCCAGAATTAAAACAGCTGATTTTTAAAAAGACAGCAGCTTTGAAGGCCTGGAGGAGGGATGGCTCCTCCCTGATAACCGGTTTGAGGGACACAGGATTCATTTCTCTTTCAGTCATTTTGCTTTTCAGTAAGGTCTCTTCTAATGCCTGGGAAAACTGCATTTTTAGAGGACTTTAGTGTCCTCTTCTTTGAAAATATTTCCTTTATAGCCAGCTCTGGGGTGTGGGATTCAAGGTCTCGGTGTTTTCGAGCTCCCTGGGTGCAGGGATGAGGAGGAGCGAGATCCGGGCACTTGACCCAAGCTGCCAACAGGGTTATTTCATACCATGAACATCACATTCAATATAAATTAGAAAGTTTGCTGAGGAGTTCTCTCTCTTCCCACCTTGATGACTGCCACCCTGAGAACTCCTTGCCCCAGTGATGGAGCCTGGAGCTTTTCCCTTCCTCCCGAAGCCGCAGCGCTCGCAGGGTCCCACATGGGCTGTCCCTGCGGGGAGTGCACAGCTCCCTGGGATGGGATGGGCATAGTCCTTCTATATTTAGTATTGGTATTGGGATCAATATTGGGATCAATGTTAATTATTTAGTCTTATCCTATTAAACCTGGCAGTGTTAATTATTTAGCCTTATCCTATTAAATCTGTTTATATTTCAACCCCCCTGTTGCCTTGTTTTCTCCTGCTCCCCCTTCTCGGGTGGGGAGGGGTCATTGGGTGATAGAATCACTGTCTAAACGACAATAGATGTTCCTCAAACCATAACACCGGGATAGGGAATGGTTTTGCCCCACGGATCCCTTCCATGGACCATGTGCCCTTGGCCTCACTCTGCCCTCCCCTGCGTGGGAGGACACGGGGACTGTCCCACCAGCTGCCCGGGAGGCAGGACAGGGGGCAGGCGGCTCCAAGTGGAGGGTGTTGGTCGGATGTCACCAGGGTGTCACAGCCACGGCTCTGCAGGAGGTACAGCACCAGTGCAATGGGACGCCAGGAGTTGGCAAGGTGATGCTGCCCCGAGGAGGTCCCAGGCAGCTCCTCCACTCACTGGATGAGCCCCGTGGGCAGCAGTGAGCTCTCGCCGGTGCTGGTGAAGGGGACTGCCCCACTGCCCCCCGGCTCCGCTCCTCCCCACCGCTCTGTGTGAGGAAGGGGGAGAAGCAGGACGGAGGGTTAAGCCAAGGAATCCCCGTGGTCGGGGTGACCCCGCTCTCCGGAGGGGCTCCCGCTCACCTTCCCGGGAGCCAACCCCCCCACAGCCCCCCACACTGCAGCTGTGGGGTCTGATGAAGGTCGGACCCCCATCCTCATCCTCCAGAGCCCCCGCACCACAGCAGTTGGGGGGATCCCAACCCTGGGAGAGAACCCGGGGAAGCCCAGAGCCTCACCTGCCTCCTCCCGGCTGGGGAAATGCTGGAATCCCTCTAAATCTGCAGCCAGCAGGACTTGGAGAACAGGGTCCTGAGGACACAGAAACCTGGGCTGGGGGAGCCTGCTGCTGGCCCCTTCTCATCCCTCTGGGGCTGTGAGCCCCCCGGCCAGCCCAGGGCAGGGCACACAGCCCTTCCCCACATCCCTGGGGAGGGACCCTTTATCAGGGAGGGGAGCCATAGGACAAGGGGGAACGGTTTTAAACTGAAAGAGGGGAGATTGAGATGAGATCTCAGGAAGAAATTCTTTGCTGGGAGGGTGGTGAGAGCCTGGCCCAGGTTGCCCAGAGAAGCTGTGGCTGCCCCATCCCTGGAGGGGTTCAAGGCCAGGTTGGAGGGGGCTTGGAGCAACCTGGGCTGGTGGGAGGTGTCCCTGCCCAGGGCAGGGGGTGGGACTGGGGGGGCTTTAAGGTCCCTTCCACCCAAACCACTCTGTGATTCTATGATCCCGCAGCCAGACTTGGATGCTGCAGCCTCCACCTCTCTGAGATGAAGGTGCTACCAGAAGAGCCAAGGCTGCATCCTCACCATGGGCAGCCCACAGCCCCCCCAGGGAACAGCAAAAGGACCCGGCAGAGGGTGGCCGAGGCTGTGTCCCACGTACCTGCAGGCTGCAGAAGGCCAGCGAGAGGCCGTGCTTGCCCAGCTCCTGCAGCAGCTCCTCCAGCCCCACCACCACCGTGTAATCGATGCTGCTGATGTGGCAGCAGTCCAGGATGACAGAGCGCGGTGGAGACGCTGCTGGAGGAAGAGCATACGGTCATGTCCTTGATGAGTCCAGAAATGACCAGCCATGGGGACACAGCCCTGAGAGCCAGAGCTGGGGTGAGACAGTCTTAGGAGAGCGGCAACAGCCAGGGGCTGGTGCCCACCACAGGGAAGCTGCTTGCACCCGCAGCCTACAGGACCAGGCAGCACTTGCCATCCCCTCCCAGCAGTGGTCCAGGTGGGTGCCAGGTCACAGCTGAGTCCCCAGCACAAGCCGGTGGGCTGGGGAGCACTGTACCTGCCAGGGCATGGCTGCAGATGGCATCCCGGAGGCACTCCATGGCTGGGAAGTGCAGGTTGCTCCCCAGCTGCACGAGGAGCACGTCCCCCTCTGACACCTGCGCAAGACCCCAGAGGAGGGGGACAAGTCATGGGGAGCTCCAGGCTGTCACCTTCCCCAGGCGGGGACAACTGCCCGCGTGATAAAGCAAAGCACCATCCCAGCTGGAGGGGGACACACGGGAGCCTTCATCCCCCAGGGAAACCCCCCTCCCGAGCACACCCTGAGCACACTCCAGCATCAGCAGGAACAGGGGCTGCAAAACGTCCTGCTCCTTGAAAGGGGTCCCAGCAGACTGGGGACACGGGATGGGTGGGAGCAGGACAGAAGCATCCTGCACCCCAACACCCCGCTGCCCTCGGGGATCCCTCTCCCAGCTCCCCCCTCCCTGGAGAGCCCGGCCGGACCCACCACATCCGAGGTGTGAAGCCCACCTTTATGGGGGGCCTGGCAATGGAGTAGAGGAGGAGAATCCCTGAGACCAGCACCCCGGAGACGATGCCGTACTGGACCTCCCAGAAGCAGAGCAGGAACGTCACACAGAGGGGCACAAGGTCCAGCCCTACAAGAGAGATGACCCAGGCTCAGCTGCGCCTTGTCCTCACGCCACAGGACCCTCTGGGACACTGCCCACTCTGCAGAGAGAGCCAGGTTGCACCAGGGGATTGTCTGCCCCCGACTCGTGCCCTCACTTTTAACCCGCCAGAGCGTCCTGAAGATCCCAGCATCAAACATGGGGACCACAGCCGAGATGATGACGGCGGCCAGCGCCGCTTTGGGGATGTAGTAGAAGAGCGAGGTGAGGTACGCCAGGGAGAGCAGGACCAGGGCACCTGCAGGAGATGGGCAGCACCTGAGACACAGGGTCCCCCACACCCAGGATGCTTGGGGGGGCAGATGCTGAGCATGGGGACCTGGAGGGCAGCCCATGGCAGGGTTGGGGGCTCTACCTGTGACAAGTCCTCCAGCGGGGGTGCAGACACCTGATTGCGCATTCACTGCTGTCCTGAAAGGCAAAGCAACATGTTGTCCCTGGCTGTGATGGGGGCCTGGAGGGCAGCCCACGGTGGGGTTGGGGGCTCTACCTGTGACGAGTCCTCCAGCAGGGGTGCAGACACCCGATTGCGCGTTCACTGCTGTCCTGAAAGGCAAAGCAACATGTTGTCCCTGGCTGTGCTGGGGCTGGAGGGGCTGGAGCTGCCCCCACCTGCTGCCCAGAACCCCCCCACCCCATAAAACCCCCCATCAGACCCCACCAGGGAGAAACACGAGCAAGCCCATGGCTCCCAGCCTTCAGCGGGTCCGCAGGGCAGTGAGATGGGAGGGAAAGTTGCCCCAGGACCAGCGTGTAGCCCAGCGGGCAGGGTGGGCAGCTGGGGACAAGGACACATGCTCAGGGACCCACTGGGGTCCACACAACCTCTGCTCCCCCTCCTGCTACCCACCGGCCGAAGCTGCCCGTGATGGGGTACGATGAGACGAAGGAGCCCAGGACGTTGGCGAAACCTGCAGTGGGGAAGGAGAGGGGCTGGGATGCAGCAGGAGGTACCACCTGGTCTGTGCCACTGGCATCACCTCCTTCATGCCCGGGCTGGTACCCAGGGCTGGCTAGGAGCCCATCCAGCCCAGTGAGCCAGGCTCAGGCTGCTCTGGAAATTGCTAAGCTGTCAGAAAAGCTGGGGGTGTGGGCAGCATGCAGGATAAGAAAGGTAAAACTTGAGGTAGAGGTGGGTTCTGCTGGGATGGGGATCTCTCAGGGGCTGTGGGACACGTGGGGGTGCTCAAGCTGGATCCCCACCCCCTGTCCCCCTGCTCCGAGCGGCCTCTCACCCAGAGCCAGCAGCTCCTGGTTGGGGTCAATCCGGTAATCGTTCTGCGAGGCTGAAAGGAGATGAGCGGCATCACCCGAGCTTCCTGCAGGCACAACCCACCGCGAGCAGAGCGGGGCCAGCAGAGCCTGGGACACCCATGGGACCCCGTCCCCCGGTTCCCCCCTGGGTGCTGGAGCAGCCCTCAGGACACCGCTCTGCAAACTCTGGCCGTGGACAACATGGGGACCCCCAGCCCACCCCCCTAGCCAGCCATGGGGGGGCTGCCTGGCCAGGAGAAGGGGGGCCAGCACCCCATGGGACCCCTCCCACGGGCAGCCCAGTCCCTCCCACTGCCCCCATGGGAACAGCACCCTGCCTGGCACCCCAAGCCCCTCTGCAAAGACACCACCACCACCACAGGAGCCCGGCGCAGCCGTACCAAAAGCCTTGGCAATCGCAACGGTCTCCAGCAGACCCATGAGTGGGACCACGGCCAGCCCGACCCCCATGTCCTGGCAGGGAAGGAAGGACACAGTGAGCGTGGCCACCGAGGGATGAGGGTGGCCCCACAGAAAAGCCTCCTCCCTCTGTGTGGGGAGCCCACAAACACAGGACTAAGCAGACAGCAGCCCGTGGGAGCCCCGACTCTGCCTCCCAGCCTGGCACCCACCTCCACCATGCTCCTGAAGGGGATGGTGCCGTTGGGAACATCCATGGAGAAGCGTGGCGGCCGGAAGGCGGGGAGGCCCCGGGGGATGCTGCCGGTGAGCGTGAGCGGCTGGGAGCCCATCACCTGGAAGGAGTAAGCGACCAGGCCAGCAAACAGGACTACGAGGGCATTGCGTGCTGCGGTGGAGAGAGCAACCATGATAAACATGCCCGGAGCCCAGGGTGGCAGGAGGGATGGCAGGAGGTGGGTACCCGGCTGCCGAGGTCTTCCAAGCCTCAGGAAGGGGCATGCACAGCAGTAGGACCATTCATGGGACATCCCTCCACGACCCACCTCCAGGTCCCATCTCCGGTCGACCTGGGCTTTACCAGTTTCAGGCTGTCTCTCCCCAGTCCCAAAGAGTTGAGACCAGGGAAGAATGGCCATGGGAGGGAAGAGGGCAGGGGATGGCCAACGCACCCGTGGCAGAGGTCCAGACGATGAGGTAGCTGACCCTGGCAGCCAGTGGCTCCCCACGGGAAGCTTGGGGCAGGCTGTTCTTCATGGCCCGGAGCCCTGCCAGCACGGCCAGGCAGGTCAGCCCCAGCACAGCGTCCCCAACCCTGCAACAACCACGTCGGTGCCAGCCCAAAACGCGCTGCGGGGCTCAGGGAGAGAGCGTGGCGGCCGGAAGGCGGGGAGGCCCCGGGGGATGCTGCCGGTGAGCGTGAGCGGCTGGGAGCCCATCACCTGGAAGGAGTAAGCGACCAGGCCAGCAAACAGGACTACGAGGGCATTGCGTGCTGTGGTGGAGAGAGCAACCATGATAAACATGCCCGGAGCCCAGGGTGGCAGGAGGGATGGCAGGAGGTGGGTACCCAGCTGCCGAGGTCTTCCAAGCCTCAGGAATGGGCATGCACAGTGGCAGGACCATTCATGGGACATCCCTCCATGACCCACCTCCAGGTCCCATCTCCGGTCGACCTGGGCTTTACCAGTTTCAGGCTGTCTCTCCCCAGTCCCAAAGAGTTGAGACCAGGGAAGAATGGCCATGGGAGGGAAGAGGGCAGGGGATGGCCAACGCACCCGTGGCAGAGGTCCAGACGATGAGGTAGCTGACCCTGGCAGCCAGTGGCTCCCCACGGGAAGCTTGGGGCAGGCTGTTCTTCATGGCCCGGAGCCCTGCCAGCACGGCCAGGCAGGTCAGCCCCAGCACAGCGTCCCCAACCCTGCAACAACCACGTCGGTGCCAGCCCAAAACGCGCTGCGGGGCTCAGGGAGAGCTACCCCAAAGCCAGGGACAGGGACGCTCCCACCACCCGCAAAGGTGTCACCTCCCTGGGGAGGGAGAAGGGGGTCTCCCCCAGCCAGAAGTGTGATGCTAATGGGTTTGTGGGCTCTTCATCAAGAGGGAAGCAGGACCCTAGCGACAGGCAGCGGGATCTGCCTCCTCCCCACCTCCCTTCCTCCCACCCCCAGCCGGGCAGGGAGGTCTTCTGCCAGCCCTGAGGAAGCTGACCCTGTGTGTCACTGTGCTGTGCGTCAAACCCAGGCTGGGGCACAGAGCCACGGGAGCAAGCAGGGGGGTGATGGCACCGGGATGCCTGAGCTCCCTCTTGGACCACCAAAAATTGGAGGAGGACTTAGGACCCAGTTGTAAGGATGTGCCTTTGGATGTATAGTCCCAAGGATGTGCCTTTGGGCTGGCAAAATCCTGATGTACCTTACTGGGAGTGGAAAACAGGGCAACCATCCCCCATCCTTCCCCTTCAGCAGCTTGGGAGCCCACGTGCTTCCCCATCTTCAAATTTCCAGCTCAAATGGAAACGGCTGAGAACAAGCACTGGGCAGAGACCGGGAAATGGGTCCAGGGTGGGAGCAAAGGGATGGGGAGCAAAGCTGCAGAGCCTGAGACCCCCCCAGCTGCAGGGGGACGGAGCGGGGTGGGCACAGGGACGGTGCTGACCTGGTCTCCCCGATCCTCCACAGCGTCTCGTACACCTGCAGGAAAAACTGCCGAGGGATCCCCTGCAGCCCCAGGAGGTTCTGTGCAGGAAGACAAAGCCTGGTGAAAGCCCAGCACGATCCAAGCTGCCGGGTGCCGTGGAAGGATGGCCAGGAGCAGTGGGGCTCAGCCCTGACCGGGGGGTGCTGCTGGTGGGGGAGCACCCCGACTCCTGCGTGCACCCCAGAACGGCCTTTTCCTGCGTGGCTCCCTGCATCCAGGGCTTAGAGATGCTCTGAGATGTCTCCAACCCACCCTGCACACACGAGTGTGCAGCTCCTCGGAGGGGGGGGTCCATTTGGGGTCCCAGCCCAGCCCACACAGCCCTGCCCTCCCCCTGCACCGTGCCCAGCAGCCCCACTGCGACCGCAGCCATTAGCCAACCCCGCTTCCTCGCACGGCCTGACACCATCTCCCGGAGCCTCTGATTTTGGTTAACCACAGAGGAAGCCCTGCAGCCCCAGAAGAGCCGGAGAGGGACCAGTGAGGGACCAGCAGAGCTGCAAACCCACCCGTGTCAAGAGAATCACCTACGAACTCCCACCAGTGACCAAATCAAACGTCCTGGTTTTACTGGTTGCCACCAGCTGGTCACAGGCGGAGAGTTGGGCTCTGTCTGCTCAGAGCAGAGACCTCAGGGACCCACCAGAGCTGCTGGCAGGGGAGACCTATGCCCTCTTTGGGGGGTCGTTCCTCCCACCCCGACAACATCGTCCACCCCAGTGCTCAACTTCCCAGCTCCACAGCACGGCTGGGGCCGGGAGAGAGCAGGCAAGGTGTCCAGAGCAGACCAGCAGCCCCTACCTTCACCTGGTTGAAGCTAATGGTGATGGAAGCAGCAGATGTAAACCCTTTAATGACCGGGCAGGAGATGAAATCCAGAAGGAAACCTGTAGGGGAAGGGTGGCAGTAAGCACACTGCTGGCCCTGACGGGGCGCACGGGGTAAATGAAGTCCAGAAGGAAACCTGTAGGAGATGGGTAGCAGTAAGCACACTGCTGGCCCCGATGGGGCGCACGGGGTGTTTGCAGGCACACAGAGCTGTCACAAGCACTGGGAGGACAACCTCAGTGGCTGGGAGAGCACATGGGGAGGGGGGGTATCCTAAAAATACACCCACACATGGCAAGAGCATCTCACCGAGGTGCAGGAGCCCCATGGCCAGCTGGATGCAGCCGCAGAGGAAGGTGAGCAGGACGGCATAGACGGGCTCGTGGAAGGCGTAAGAGGAGACAAGCAGCGACATGATGGCGGTGGGACCCAGCGTCACGTCCTTGGCGGTGCCCAGGAAGCAGTAGACGAAGCAGCCCATGAAGGAGGAATAGAGGCCATACTGCATGGGGACAAAAGGAGTGCTGGCATCAAGCTGGGAGATGCCACACACCTCCGGGACACGGAGGGTTGGGCTGCCCTCAGGTCCCTCCAGTGCCTGCGGCCAGCCCTGGGCAAACACACGGCATCTCCGGCTTCCTGCTATGAAATGGGTGGCCACCCAGCGCCAGCATTTGGCCACCAGCTGGCCAGCCCTGCCCGCTCTGGCTGCCACATGGCATGGGTATCCCCGGGTGCCCCCACAGCCACGGGGCACCGCCACACCGGGGGTCATGGCACGGGTGTCCCCGGGCACCCACCTGGAGAGGTAGCCCGGCCACCTCGGCATAAGCCAGCGCCTGCGGGACCACGGTGAGCCCCACGGTGAGCCCGGCCATCACGTCGAGCTGCAGCCAGGCCAGCGAGTAGCTCGGGAGCCAGCGCAGGACCGGCAGCCTCCGCCGCCCCCCCGGGCACCGGGGACCCGCCGCCGGCATGGCCGGGGAACCGGCCCCCAGCCCCCTCCGGACTCGCCGCGGGCTCCGGGACTCGCCGGTGGCCGGGGGAGGAAGGGGACGGAGGGGCCGGGAGGCGGAGCGGGCCGGGGTCCCCCCGCGGGACCGG